CCCCAACATCCTACACCAATTGCATCTCCCGTCATACTCAATCCAATCCTTTCCTGTTTATGTTCCTTCTTTTCTTCTTTTGATGGAGTACTTTGCTGGAGTTTTTCATGCTACGCTCATCGTGCAAAGAAATAATTAATTTAGACTGAATTAAACTTTCGCGTCGTCAAGGAAGACCAGAAAGTTTGAAAGCAGATGAGATATTCCTTATTAGGTTTGTGATTGTAACTCAACATTTTACTTAGCTGAGAAATGATAAGACGGTGTTATGAACAAAAACAGCGCGTTTAAATGCACTAACGCGAAAATGACGTCAACTTATTTAAAACAGTTTTTATTTAATGGCGCGTAGTCCACCACGCACCGGTTGAAAAATGGTAGTAATTTTGATGATAATTGAGAATTTGAAGCACGTAGATTGCACCATCTTAATCTGCCATTTTAGCACTTCAGTTCCACGTACTCTTGTAGAATTAAAATTCAGTCAAAATTGACAGAATTTTCGCGCTGCGCAACATGCAGTTTTAATTTGATGTAAACTAAATATGAGGCTGACTTCCATAAGCAGGCTATACGTTAGCACCCTTTTATCGTTGTCAGCCATGCTGAAAATATCGGCTGATGTGAAAGAGTCAAGTATAAAAAATGAGTGTGAAAGCGTTGAGTTTTGATCATGCACAGAGCCATTTAATAGTGAAAATCCCTTTTTAAATTTCAATGAACGCAATGAAGTCACTTCTATGGGTCATGATGATTTTTTTTTCAGTGTGACCAAATTATTATGTTTTTTCCCCTTAGGGAAAAGACATTAAAATTTGGTCACGCTGAAGTTTGGTTTTTCGAAATTCGACGTTCGATTTCTTAAGTTCAGTTCATTCATTTTGACAAAAAGAAGACAATCTCTACTATCGAACAGCAAAGGTCCCAAGAACGTGATCAACTTCAAGTTGAAATTGGATATTATTTTTTTACTCGTAAAATTTCCAAGCGGAAAAAAACTTTACCGATTGATCCAGATTTCTCAGATTGAGTTAATTTTATCAAGTGTCAATCATTCATAAAATGTTTTTGAAATTAATGCCATATGATTTTAGAGTTATCCAAGTAGTGAAACCTCTTATATAAGTCTTGGTGAGTTTTTTGTTTTGTTTGTTTTTCAGGAAAGGTTTAAAATATGTTCACGTTCAAATTTGATTTTTCGCGGTTTGACTCCTTTATTGAACCTCAAAGGTCCCAAAAACGTGATCGACTTCAAGTTGAAAGTGGATATTATTGCTACCATTTTTGCATATTCAATCTACAATCACAAACATGTTCACGTCTAATATGTTCACGCTCAAATTTGATTTTTCGCGGTTTGACTCCACTATCGAACAGCAAAGGTCCCAAAAACGTGATCGACTTCAAGTTGAAAGTGGATATTCTTTTTTTACTTGTAAAATTTTCAAGCGGAAAAAAACTTGATCCAGATTTCTCAGATTGAGTTAATTTTATCAAGTGTCAATCATTCATAAAGTGTTCTTGAAATTAAAACAGCATTAAGACCATATGATTTTAGAGCCAATCGAGTAGTGAATCCTCTTTTATAAGTCTTGGTGAGTTTAGTTGTTTGTTTTTATTTTTCAGGAAAAATTTATAATATGTTCACGATCAAATTTGATTTTTTGCTATTTGTCTTTTTATTTCTTTTTAAATTCAGTTAATTTCCTTCGTTAAAAGGTAGGCTCCACTATCGAACAGCTAAAGTGTATAGGTCTCGAAAAACGTAATCAACTTCTAGTTTCGAAAAAGGGTTCTAATGTTCAGATTTCCCAGTGGAAGAAAAATTTTACCTATTGATCCAGTTTTCTCAAATTGGGTTAATTTTATCTCAAAAGTACCAATCTTAAATTGTTCTAGAAATTCTAAGTGCTTTAAGTGCGTCTGTTTTTTCTTGAAATTTGAAAATTGAAGTTTTTTCTTAAAACAAGTCAGTTCTATTTCTTTGCCTTCATGACTCTTATTCAACTGTCTGTTGGCTATGTTTTCCTTTGAATTTTGAAAATTAAGGTTTTTTAAAAAAAACAAGTCAGCTTTTATTCTGTTTGCTTACGTTCATTGACTCTTTTTTTAACTGTGGCTCTTTTGTGTCGCTAAGGTAGCTCTAATCGAATAATGCATGATTTACATGCATTATGCGTATTGTAACCACGGATATGAGCACCTTTAAAACTGGCTCTTCAAACCTCAATTAATTTTTTAATTTTTGGCAATATCCTCTTGATAAGCTTTTTAAATAGTTATTTTGTTTGTGTGCCGAGAGCAACGCTGATTTTGTAATAAATTTCAATGAAATGTACGCTGATAATACGGTGTAGACAAATTGACAATATACCATCCAGTCTCATGGGCGTCAATAGTGGTGGCTAATAATTTCATTTCATTTTTTCCTCGTTCTGCATAGTTCTATTACATTTTGTTCTGGGTAATATACAACAGCACTGTAGAAGAAATGTTAAGCCATTCATCCCGTCTAAGACGATGGAAAAATTGGATTGTCTATTTCTCGTTGACGTAATTTAACGCGAATGAAGGTTTAATTTCAAAAAAGTTTCAAATTCAAAGACATCATGAATTTTCCCGCGTACGCAACTAGCTGAAAAAAATTTTGGAAAAAGCGTTTTTCGTGTGTTTGCAAAGGTAAATATGGTCGAGAAAATATATGGTCAGCTTCGCTTGTCGTTTCGTTTGGAATTGTCTTATTCCAATGATTCCTAGAAAGACTCACTTGGCTTCGTTGCTCTCTTGCCTCCCTTTTGACACATGCAAGCTTAGCGATATACTTTCAGATATATATATTTTTAAAAAACAAGTCGCTTATTTCAAAATTTTGGTCAAAGTTAACATGTGAATTTTACAATGTGTACTAGCTATATCCGCTATTTAAACACTGTATTTGATGCCTGATATTTAAGAATGAAATATGCGTGAAAGCTAAGCTACCAGTGTTAAGACACGTCACTCGTAATCTGGTCGTCGGGATTCGAGTTGCTTTGTTTGCTAGGTTTTTTAAAGTTGATTTTCTGCGAAGCATATTTTTCTTTCAATTTCCATGTTTGTCGTTTTTTAGAGACTTGTTTGGCTGTAATTTAGCTTGTGTTTGCGAAGTGCAGCTTCGTCTCAGTGTAAAATAAGTTTCTGTAAATTCTGTGCCAAAGAAACTCAGTTTGCACGGAAAAGGTCAAAAATTAAGGATCGTAACACCTGCCATAAATATTCATATAAAAGTGGACGTTATTGGAGGCATTAGATCCTGCTAATGATTATGCATCTGCTGTTTTTCATACCACATACTATTGCTGGATTGTTTAAATCCTTCGTTAGTATAAATTATTGTTCATTTCAGTAAGTATATAGGCAGTCTGTTTGCGACATGTTTGCGAAGTACTTAAAATACGGATAAATAGATAGTTCGATTGGGTTTCATTCAAACGCTTGCACTTGAGAAGAGATCAGTCAAAAGTTACCGCAAATTTTAGAATGTTAAAAGAATTTAATTACTTCAGGAACGGGGAATCATTCATTATCTATCCTTTAGAATGGAATGTTTTGGAAATTAAAATTTGATAAGTCAAATCAGCTGAAGTTTTCGCGAAGTACTTAAAAATACGGATAAGTTCAAAAGTTGCGTTTCTCTCTCCTCAGTCGAGAATGATATTTTTTTCAGATCTTAGTTGTTATTATTTTTAGCACCTGAAATTCATTTTTTTTCGCGATTGGTGAAATTTCGAAACGGGAATGAAAGTTTTTATTACTATATCAGGTTAATGTGATGTAATTAAGAGTCGATGAACGTAATTCAGACTCTATATAGGTAGCGATATTTTTTCAGGAGTCTTACAATTTGCTTAGGATCAAATTTACTCTTTCGCGATTTGACTTGATTTCTTTTAAATTTCAGTTCATTTCCTTTGTTAAAGAGGAAGACAAAATCCTTTATCGAAGAGCAAGAGTGTAAAGGTAATGAAAAACGTGATGGACTTTAGTTTTGAAAGTGGAATTTAATTTTCAGATTTTCCAGCGAAATAATAATAATACTTATTGATCCAGTTTTCTCAACTTGGGTTAGTTTTATCAAAAAAGTGTTTATCATAAATTGTTCGAGAAATTTAAAGAGCTTTAAAGGCATCTGTTTTTTTTGAAATTCGAAAGTTCGGAAAGATTTTTTCAATCAGTTTTTTTCTGTTTACTTGCTTTTGTTGACTCTTTTTCCAACAGTCTGTTGGCTATGTTTGTCACTTATGTAGTTCGTGATGTTTTTCTGTTTGTTTTAGTAAAGTTTGATTTTTATCGTCAAACTTCAACTGTCGAATAGCAAAAGTGAAAATATCACAATGAAACGTCAATGACCATAAAAAATTATCTATTGAACAAGTTTTCTCTATGAAATGTCAAAGATCAGAGCTTTATCGTGGTATATTTCTTTCCTCGAACTTCAAAGTTGAAAAATGTTTTCATTATTTTTTTTTCGGTTTCCTTGGGTTTTTCTTACTTTTTTCCAATCATCTGTTGATCATGTATTTTTCCTGTTACTCTTAGTCACAGTAAAGCGATTAATGGGGCCCTGTGTGTTAAATTATATGAAATTTTGATTTTATCTTATTACAATCTTTTTACAACAGATTTTTTCCTCTTTTTCACAAATGATTACATCACCTTGAGCTTCATTGACTTCAAAATGTAATAGAGAAAAAGAGAAAAAACTTATTGACGCATTTTTTTTTGAAAATTTTAGGAAAACAGAAAATTTGTTGCGGTTTTCAAATAGTATTTTTCTCGAATATGATTTTCCATAGCAAATATTTTTCTCGAATATGATTTCCCATAGCAAATATTTTTCTATCGAAAGTGGTGTGAAGCTCCGCTTCGTCCCTGTATTCAAAATCAGATACCGTTTTGTTTCGCCTTGTTTGAATAAATTATCTCATTCATTAGCTTTAATTGATGATTTTTTTATTTAGAATGATATCACGAACTGGAATGACCAAAGAATATCAGCCGGAAACGTCGGATCGATTATTAGTGATTCCGGTCAGCATTTTCCATTGCAAGGTGCAGTTAGTCAATTATCCGGGGCACCGGCGATGACGATCAAAGTGCCCCAGTCGAACAGTCTGAGCGCCGCTTACCGCAGACAGAATTTGATGCTGGACGATCAAGGTGGTGTGAATGAAATAATGGCTACTGTTAATGCGAACAATCTCATAAACGCCAACAATTCGCAACACATTATGCTTCAAAACAGAGGAATGACTCCGCCCAGTCGGCCGGATTCGACGTCTTGCGCGGTCTCACCGTCGCCATATGCTATGAACGCCAGACCTGTTTCTCGAAATATATCCCCGATAAATGCCAGAGCGAATTGTTCAAGCGTGTCGCCAAATTGTTCCTCGCCTGGACTTCAGAACCACCAGATGAGGTTTAACCATGGAGGAGGGGGAGGGCAGATGCATGGGGTGGGTCCAAACGGGAAGGGCCTGAAGATAGAAATTCCGAATCACGCCATTTCTTGTCAAAGAGTAAGATTTAGTTTTAATTTCATTTCGTATATAATGGAAAGATTGAAAATTTTTCTTAAATGGACTTGCTTTTGCTGGAATTATAATGCCTATTTGCCGAAGTAGATAGCTATAACATGTTGAGGTCTTAAGTACTTCTGAAATCTGTCAAACAGGCCTTTGTTTTGAAGAAGTTTAGCGTTACTAATTTTTCAGCAGCTGAATTGTTCTCCGTCTAACAAGTCTCTTCTGGCCCCTAATAGACCAAGTTCATCGCCAGCTGTTCAGTACAATCCTTCGGCACAAGAATGCCCCACCACAGATCCCAGAATGTTACCCGGTGGAGGGGGGATGACTCCCGGCGCCTCCCAGTACCGTCATCTAAGCGGAGGAGGAGTGGGAGACGATTCAAATCAGATGTTTGTTCATACCCCCAATACGTCTCTAAGAGGAACACCAGACGATATGCAAAGATACCAGAACCAACAGCTAGGTACTCTAATGCTTCCCAATGAATCGAACACAAGTAGTAGCAATAGTAGACCCCAATCGATCAGTTTGAAATCAGAAAACAGCAACGTGCAAACAGGCGTACAATTTGCGCAATTAAATAATGGCCGGAGTCCGTCCTCCTCACAACAGAACCAGCAACAGGCCCAAATTTACCAACAAAATTTTACCCCTTCGCACAGCCCAAGCGCAACTACCAGTCGTTCTATGAGGTCTTCGATCAATGTTGCAAGTGAGTTCAAGTTGACGGATTCTTTACGCTTGTGATTAGGCAGCGTTATCAAATCAGGCTATAGACTTTTTCGGGTACTCAACTAGTTAAACAAAATCAGTCATTTGGGCCAGTAGTTGGTATCTGTTCTGATGATGACTGGCCAACAGATCATTTTTGAGCATGTCTGTACTTTACATTGTCGGTCGGACCTTGTATGTAAACCAACTGGATGTGTGTAAACCAACTCATTTTTCAAATTTCTTCTTGTTTATTTGTATTTTGTTTGCCTTAAGTTTTTTTGGTCTTGAATGGTTTCAGTTGATGGTATATCTGCTTAGTTGCCTCATAGTTGCCGTTAGAAAGAGCAAATAATATTTGGTGGGTAGCGGCGTAAAACTTCTTGGGGCGTAGTTTTCGCAGCTGATTTTTTTTGGCTCTTTTACCCAGGTATTGTCTGCTTAATTACACTAGCCAGCGTAGTGTAGTTAGTATGACTCTACTTTTTTCAACCAAATTCGCAAATAAAAGTGCTTATTTGCTGGCACTTTCGCTGAAATCACGATCTGTATCATTGAAAGTTTGTTCTCAGCTGTATTTGTGGCTATTGTTAATCGATTGTTAAACGTTCGTAGCTGAGAGGGTAGAGCGCGAGACTCCAAATCTCGAGGTCACTGATTCGAATCCGATACGATGAAAGTTTACCTAATTCGTGGCTTATTCTTACCTAATAAAGCTGCTTTTTTGTGTTCTCTAGTGTTTGCGAAGCACAGCTTCGCCTGAGTAAAAACTGTTTCAATACTAATTTAACATTGGCAGTTTTTGTTCTCGGTATCTTTTCCTCAAATTGAACCGCATTCGGGACAAACGTCAAAAACTTTCTTATGATGTTTTTTTATTATAATTATAAAAATCCTTTTTCTTAAAAACCGGCATTATGAAAATGAATGGGATTCAAAGGAATTTTTTTTTATTTTTCGATATGGTTTAGTTTTTCTCAAAAATTACTTCATGATTTTTGAAAGTATGGTAGCAGTGAAAAGACCTGTGTGTCTGGAGGGAATGTTTGACCATTTTTATTCGGAGTTTCTCATAAACAATTCGGAGAAATTTGAGATAAAGGTTTCAATCGAAAAAACAGGTTGCGGGAATCTCACTTGTCTATGCCGCTGCTCCCTAATTTTTAGAGTAGAAAACTTATTGTCTCATTTAAATAAAACTTTTCCATTAAATTGCACTTTTTCCTAAAACAACTTTTAGTACAAAAATGTAAGAAGTACACCTTTTTGAAACCTCAATGCGCCTTCCAGGCCCATCTTACTTTGTGTTGTGATTAAACGCGTACCTTTAGATCCTTAGGTTAAGGGTTCAAGTACCGGCCGGACCATCCTTTTTATTTTTTTTCTGGAAAACTTGAATTTTGGATCATCAGTTGCCTGCTTATGTCGGCCTACTTTCCGAAAATATGCGCAAAGATTTTCCAATTTTTTTTTTGTTAATTTCGAGAAACTTTTACTGTAATTGGAAGTCTTTCAGTAATTCTTGTTTTCATTGACTCTTTTCCTACCGTCTCGTCTGTTGACTGTTCTAATGGGTTTTTGATGTTGCAGATATGAGCTCTGGTTCCTCATTGACAATGCACACCAGTCCCACCGCCTCAATGGAGAGCAGGAGAATGCAACATCGTCAACAGCAGCAACAACAGAACGAATCTACTTCCCAAATGCTTCTTCAGGGCAGCAACAGTCTGTTCCCTCCACCCTCCTCTGTCGCCAACCCCGCCGCTGTACCTCAAACTGACAATCAGCAGCAGAACAGCAACAGCCTCCATCACACAGGGCAGCAACAAGGAGACCACTTTATACCATCTTCCATTGATTCTCTGCCTAGCAAATCAAGGTCAGCCGTGATTAGTTATCAGAAGAAGTAGCACATGCAAGGAGGGGGTTGGTGACCTGGCCACCGCAATTGCACGCTACTTCGCCCAAATTACCAGCCGTGCTTAACTTATATAAGTTTTTCGATGTTTTTTTCAGGTACTCTTTATAATTAACGCTTTAGTCTTTATAAACTTCGTTCACGCAAATTTTAAGTGCTAATGAAACAAGTTCATTTGTCGTCTTTTTTTATAAAAAGTTGTCAGGATTTCATCATCCGCTCACGTTTTTATTTAACTTGTTTGATTTTTCTTCCGCTTAATTTCCAAAACCTTGAGTTTTTTTCCGAATCAAGCAATTGTTATTTACACAAGCAACGCTTGTGTGATAGTATGAACTCTCTTTTTTTGCAACCTAAGTCGCAAATATTAGTGTTCATTTTGAAAGGGTTCATTTTAATCAATAACCAGCTATAAAATGCAGTCAATGCTAAGGATATTAGCACAGACTTTTATAGCACAGATAGCACTTTAGCTTCAGGGTATCAGGGATCTGTAGCGTAGAGGTAGGGAAGGAGAACCGCAACAAAATAAGAGGATTCGAATCTAGGCAGGGTCGGATGATTTAAATGAACTTTTTTGTATACGAGTTGAAATGCGTCCGCTCTATAAATTGAGGCATGTTAGTTGGTAAATTGCTTTTTTCAAATTGACTGGTACTTCTAATGCGTCATAATTGGTTTGCGTCGCTTAGCATTTATGTAGACTCATAATTGGCGTGCGTCACTTGAAAAATTTTGTAGACTCAAAGTTTTACTCATTCAGTTCTTCCCAGTAGCGTTATGGGACATATTTTTATTTGTGTGTGCGAAGTGCTACTTCGCCTCTGTGTATTATTTTCTGTCGTCCTGTTATTTCATCAATTTGCCAACTCGGATTCTGAATAAGTTTTTTTTTTAAATGTTTGAAGAGTTGATGAACGTAGTTTATCCGAAAAAACAGCATAATTTTTTTATGGGTCTTGATGATTTTTTTTTAAATCTCAAAGTTTGTTAAGTGTCATATTTGTTTTTTTTTGAATTTTGATTTCTTTTAAAGTTAAGTTTATTTCCATTGTTAAAAGAAAGCTGAATTCTATTTTTGAACAGCAAAGGTTACAAAAACAAACGGGATCGACTTCTAGTTTCGAAAGTGGATCTTTGTGTTCAGATTTCCCAGTGGAATAAAAATATTGCCTATTGATCTGTATTTCTAAAATTGGAAGAGTTGTATCAAAAAAGCACCGATAATAAATTGCTTTTGAAATTCAAAGAGCATTAATTTATTATATTTTTTCTTGAACTATCGAAAGTTGAAGTTTTTTTCAAAAAGCATGTAAGTTTTTTTCTGTTTCGTTTTCCAAATACTCATTGCTAGTTTCTAACTGTCATTTGGCTATATTTCTTTTTTCTAACATCTGAAAGGTTTTGAAGTGCTGATGTTTCAAACTATATTTCCGAGTTGACATTGAATCGGATTTTGAAATTTGTTCTTTTTTTGTTCAATTTTTCACCCACGGTCCAGTTTTTGAGCGTTTTGTTTTTTAATTCTGTCTATTGGTTGTTATTTTGTTGTTTATTCCGTTTTTTACACTCCCTAAAGCAATTGTACTAGTCATTGTTAACTAAACTTTCGCCTTGGAACCATTTTTCTAACAAACCTCTAAGAAATTACCATGCTTTTTAATGAAACCAGAAGACATCCAGGCACCTTCCCTTTTGATCTAGTCACAAAGCGCGCGCCTTGGGATCGTAAGGTTTGGGGTTTGAGCCATGGCCGGTCTTTGTTTTTACGATATATATGGAAATTGAAAATTGTTTCTGAGAAGACTTGAATTGTCGGATTTGTTTTGCCAGCTTATTTTTTGCCGGCTTATTTTTCAAAGCTGCAAATTTTCTTCTGATTTGAACTTATTTAACTCTAACGGAAAGTCATTGTGTAATTTGTTAATTTACCACGTCTGTTTTTGTATAGTTTGATTCAATGTTTTTCAGCAGGGGTGGGGCGTAAAAACTTCGAGTATAAAACCTTATTGCTTAAACGATTCTGCTCAACTAAAAATTTCGGCTCAACGAGCGTATTATTTTAAGTTTTTGGCTTGATTTCCGCTAGGATAATGATCCTGAATACTCTTTGACGCAGGTGATTGTGTTGCTTGCATTTGTTTTCTAGTTGAAAATCTTTATGATAACCGCTCAGCCAACTAATTGATTAATTAGTTCTCTTAGTGATTTTTTTAAAGTCATAAGTTGACCTTGTTTTGAATGAAAGTCTTTTTTATGTTCCATCTTACTTGTCTAACATACTGGGAACTTATTTAAACGGCCGATAATTTGATTTCTCTTATTCCAAATGTTTAAAACATAATTTCTAAAAATCTTGTACTTTATGGATTTTTTTCCCCAAAAATTGTGACAATTCAGCAGTTTTTATTCAATTTTAACACTTCTTTTGCCAAACAAATTGACTTTCGCAATAAATTATAAATACTGTTCGAAGTAGAATCAAAAACTATCCAGCTATTCAACTTAAATCTGCCACCTATTGTTATATATCACCGTGTTTTTTTTCTTTAAAGCAAGTGAGGCGCTTCTGCGCTTGTCTATATGAAATTTCTTCTGTGTAGACTTTTGACCCTTGCGATGAGCAAGGGTATTGCAATCGGGTACTAGACTTTTTTTCCCGTAAACAACTTTGTTCACAGGACTCTTCTCATCTGCACTCATTTGTGCTTGTTGGTGTTTTGATAATCTGACCTGTTCCAGTTTCTTGTATGTCGTTTGTAGTTTTACTGACTCGATTTGCTAAGAGTAATGAACATAGTGAGTACTGTTATATAGGTCTTGCTGATTTTTTTTTTCAGGTAAAATTCTTAAAATTTGTTCACGCTCAATTTTTTTTTCGCGGTTTGACTTGTGATTTGTTTTCAAGTTCAGTGCGTTTCCATTGTTAAAAAGAAGGTAAACTCCCCTGTCGAACAGTAAAAGTGTAAAATTCACGAAAAATGGGATCAACTTCTAATTTCAGAAAACTAATTATCAGATTTCCCAGCGAAATAAAAATTTTGCTTAATGATCCAGTTTTCTCACATTGGGTTAATTTGAACAAAAAAGAGTCCATCATAAATTGTTCTTACAAATTCGAAGAGCTTTAAGGGCATCATTTTTTCTTCGAAATTCAAAAATTGAAGATTTTTGAAAAAAAAGTTTTTTTTTCAGTTTTCTTCGTTCATTAATCTGTCAGTTGGCTATGTTTAAATATTCTTATGTTTTTTTTTCTGCTTGATTGGTTTCGGCCTATTTTATATCGGCCTATTGGCCGCATCTAGCCTCTTTTAACGAGCAAAAAATGTTTGTGAGTATGTGTATTTTGAGGGCGAGGGGGACTTAATGACTTTGAAGTAGTCTTGATTTTTTTTCCATTTTTGTCTGTCTTTTTGTTTTACTATTTTATATCGGCCTAGTGGCATAATATTGAGGTGTATTTTTTTCAGCTTAAAGTGTTTCTGCTAAGGTGTTTTCGGCTTTGTTATCGCTTGGTAAATTTTCTTTCGTTGCGAATTTTACATTTCATTGTCTTGGCTTAATTTTTGTTTCAAAACTAGCTCTATTCATTTTGATAGATCTAGGTTTTTTCGAATTTCTTCTTGTTTCTATCTAGTTTTCTTGTGTTGTATCGCAAGTGGTGCGAAGCTCAGCTTCGTCTCTGTGTTTATGGAAGCTTTTAGTTTTTTCCACGCTTTACTGCTCATGTTGGCGGCTTGCCTTTTGAAGCTCGTTTTTTCATATAGTTTCAAAATGGGCTGAAGTTTCTTTGTTGAGGATTAACAGAAAAATGCCGCGAAAGATTCCCTTTAATTAATATTTAAAAAGGAGTTTTGTTTGCTCCAGTTCCAGTTAAATAAGAAACGTTTTTTGAACATGTTAACTGATAATGGGTTCATTTTCTTGTAGACAAAAAACGTCAAAAGAGAAAAGTGTCCTGAATTTAAAAAAGTGTTACGTTAATTTTTTCTTAATAGAAAAAGCTCGTGTTGTTTTTCTGCTGTTTGCTGAGTTAATCAACGCGTTTCCTAGTCTGTTGGCTGGTTAATTGTTGTACAATTTATGGATCTATACTTAGGTGTTCGTTTTAGCTATGTCAATGTCGGCAATTCCCACTTGCAAACCCGTAACGTACATACAATGTACCAGAACAGGGCCAACAGAGGTGCAAATATGTTGAAACACTCGACCAATTATGCTGCCCCAAATACCTTTTTCCATCAATCGGGGTCGAGGAAAAGCCCACTTTCTTCAAACCCTCCTTCTCGAAGTACGAATAACAACTTGCAAATGGGCGCTAATAATGTAAACGAGCAAAATTTCGAATTCCTAAATATTTCTGCCGATTCTGACGGCGGCGGAGGAGGTCCGTCTAATGCGAAGCATCCTCGAATGATGACATCTGAAGGTCCGTCCATAGATGGACTCTCTTGTGACCCTAATTAACCCTGGACGCCCCCATGAAGTCACCTCAAAAGTCCCCAAAATGTTCCATAATGGATTAAATAGATGTTTAGTTGAGCAAAACGAAAACTATAGAACTGTTAAATTTTGTGGAAGGAAAACTTCTTTTTAGTTTAAATTAGCGAGTAACTAATCAACTCAAACTGATGCAAATTCTATTCTATTGGCTTTCTTTTTCGCTGAAACGGCTTTAATTATCTTCATATTTGTGTTATTTTCCCAATTAAATTTTAAGTTGGCTCCGAGAGCTCCTTCTATTTTTGTGCTAATTAAAAATGAATTTTCACATTGACATTCAGATGCTCAATTTTAATCAAGAATCTTTGAAAGTTTCTGAAAAATTCGTTTAATTGTTTATTGTTCCGATTTTCGAAGAAAGTGAGGGATTATTTTTCTACTTGAATATAAAGTAATTCATTCATTCGCTAAAATACATTCTGGTTGGTCATTATTAGTACACATCATTGTCTCTTTCCATCTATGCTATTTGTGCCCAATTGAGTTTACTGTAGATTGTATTGTGTGTGAATGTTCGTCAAAACTCTCTAAGTTATGAAATGTTGATTTGGCAGTCAGTCAATTCATTGTAGAAATTTCACGTGAAACAAGGAGTTCGTCCTCTGAGACTGTTAATTTCCAACCAATTTTCTAAAGCTATTAATTTGAAGAAAAAACAGAGGCGAAAGCAAATTAGAGTGCTGAAAATGAATAGACCTTTTCACCGTTTTTCGGAGTGCCGTATCAACGTAATCGTCGAGCTACGTATTATCCATCCGTGAAATGAAGACATGCTCTTTAAATTATCCAAAATACCAATTTGATGCTCAAAAGTGCTCATCGATATATTATTTATATTCAACATTGTGTACAACTCATGTGGCTCAAGTATCCCATCCATCTTTGAATTCTGCCATTTTTTAGAATTCAATAGATGAAGTAGTCAGATTAAGCCTGTGTCGGTATCAGATTGTCTTTCGAGAGCTCTTTAAAAACTGTATACTGGCCAATATACTGAGAGCTCTTTAAAAATAGTACTAGCCAATATCCAACAAAGTAAATACAGGATAATGTGTTGAGGAAACCGCCCCTTAGCAAGTTGAAATCGCATGTTTGCTTAAGTAAATTAGTATTATTACAATGAAATTGTTTATCTTTTAGAAGAGAAAAAATATTTACTTAATTTGAGGGTAAAACGTTACAAAATAGACGCGCCCATGTTTTTCGCAAGCTTTTAAATAACACATGTATCTGAAAAATGAGAAAATAATTTCCGGCTATATTAATATGGGCGGATCTAAAATTTTCTCGAGAGGGGCTTTTCGAAAAATTTAGGGTTGGTCAGCCAAATATGGATGTCTTAAATTAATACCAAAGCCCCCCCCCCAAAAAAAAAAAATCCGCTACTGTATAGAAAATAATTCGCTCTCCATTTTAACCACAAGGAAGCGGAAATCATTTATTATAATGAAGGTGATTTCGAGAATGAACCGTACAATGCTCCCCCTTCTCGATTTAGGGGGATAGAGTAACGGTTTTTCAGAACGAGGGCGCCTGGTATAAAAACTGCAGGGCACCGAATTGCTGCACCCGGTATAAAGTAATACTTTTTTGAATGCAAATTTGACCCTGCTCAAATGGGTCAATATTAGGTTGCATGGAAACCAGTCGATGTGGAAACTAACTACTATATAAATCAGTAAAACGTATTGAGTAGTTAGGTAATTACTTAAAATTATCTAGCGAATTTCAACACGAAGGAAGTGATTTTCGGCTGGTTTGTATAGTCTGCGCATTTTTTGTTTGCGTATATTGCAGCTGGCTCTTAAGAGTCGATGAAAGTAGTAAAACTTTTATATAGGTCTTGGCGATTTTTTTGTCCGTGTTTTTTTTTCAGGAAAGTCTTTAAATGCTCTAATAACTACAGAAGTGCGTTCATGCACTTAGGTATATGTACAGTTTTTGAGTTCAATTTAAATTCATCTGCTAAAATAAAGTTAAAGTCAGTTTTTTTTCTGTTTTCCTTACATTCATTGACTCTTCTACTCTGTTGGCTAGGTTTTTAATTTTAATGCAATGATTAATTAATAATTTTATGGCCAGATTTCAAAGTGATAGTCTAAATTGCTCCGAAGTCCTATGATGAAGCCATTATATTGACCAATAATTGTGTATATACTGAAAATAGAAAATATTCATATTTCTTTCTCGATCTAAGAAAAAGTGGACAGAATTTCCTTGGAGCTATGTGATCTTTTCTTTTTCCTACGGCTGCCGTTCCGCGGTATCCATACATCAAATATAATAAAGTGGGTGGATTTGTAAACGAAATTAAATTGTTTTCTCAATTTACTGAAGGCGATTCCTCTAAGTCTGCAAAGAAACCAATATTATTCGATCAAAATTTATTGTTTGAATTTTATATTACTTGCTATACATACGAGCTCAATGTTTATGTCTCATATCAAATTTTAATAAATTATTTGTATTTTCTTAACAATTTTTTCATGTGCCGCTTTTAGTAATGAGAAAGAAAAAATGCTCCTCTTAACAGGGCAAAGCTTCAGTGTTCCGACAGCGTTTTATCGTGTCTGATAATGGTTCGTGCCAAAAAATGATAAAACTAAAAAGTTTTTCACCCACACGCAAATGTCAAGTGTAAAGACGAATAAGTACGAGATATTCAAACCACACCTAAAATATTCTACAATGCTAAAATCAATTAGCTTGCCTCAGTTTTATTTGGACCTGTGTCTAAGCCGTGTTGAGTCCGCCGTAGGTACGCGATAGCAGGAAGTTTCATGCGCATTCTTTCACAAATTACGAGGTGAAATAATCCTTACCTATAATACAATAATATCGAATTTAGTTCACGTTTAAATTGCGTTGTTCGCGGTTTGAATTTTGATTTCTTTTTAAGTTCAGTTCATTTGCTTTGTTAAAATGAAGGAAAACTTGACCTTCGAACAGCAAAAGTGTAGCGGCCACTCAAATCTTAAATTACCTCGATTTTCAAAAATGAACTTTAATTTTTACGCTTGCGATTAGCAAGCGTTATCAAACTGGAATATACATTTTGTAGGGTTATCAACAAGTTTGACAGAATGACTTGAATCATTGCTAGCTTGCTTTGTTAATGAATTTAATTTTCATGCAAATGTGGGTTCAGTAGTGTGGCGGTGCGATTCAAAATGGACTATCTTTTCATTGCCATCGGATTTATCTTTTCATTGGTTTAATAACTTTTGGTTTAAATTCTATCAAACTAGTGGCCTCCTATTGCGTTGTTAAGGTATCGATATTTTTCTTGTGTGCGTGCGTGTGTTCTGAGGGAAAAGGGACGTGTAAATTTTCAATTAATATAGAATTTTTTTGATTTTTTTTCGGCGTGAAAAGTTTGCTTAATATTTTCGGCTTTGTTACCGCTTGGTTATTGTAAATTCAATCAACCATCAGGCTAAGAAGTCACCCGACTGCTTGATACTGCAAAGGTTGGGGTTCGAATCCGGCGGGGACCTTTTTTTGCAAACTAGAGTTTTTGTGCTGTTTCGAGCTAGTTTGCAAAAATTTCGTCCGTTTATTTTATTCGGCTTACTTCCTGTAGTCCGTTTTTTTTAATTGTACAACTTTCTTCCAGGTTGCTGCCACCTCCATGCGAGAGACGATTTAAAGCCCGGGAGCTCGATTCTAGTCGGGACTTGTTTTTTTTTGCAAAATGAAAATCTTCGGCTAATCACCCTTGTTTACACAAGCAAAGCTTCTGTTATAGTATGAATTCCTTTTATTTCCAACCCAAATCGCAAATATTGTTTGGACGCAAGTATTGTTCTGAAAAAAATTGAGTTCTTTTTGAAAGTGTTAGTTTTGATCAATAACCAGCTATTTTTTTTCGTATGCTAGTTAAAAAGCGTTCGCTCTATAAATAGAGGCATGTTAGTTAAAAAACTTCTTTTTTTAAAAAAAACTGATTGGTACTGCTATTGCGTCATAATTGGCTTGCACCACTTAGCAGTTATGTAGACTCATAATTGGTGTGAGTCACTTAAGAAATTTTGTAGACTCAAAAGTTTTCTCATTCAGTTTTTCCCAGTAGCGATATCGGACTTATATTTGTTTGTGTATGCGAAAAGCAACTTTGCCTCTGTTATATTAAATTCGGTCTGTTTATTTTTGTCGACTCATTTCTGCATAAGGGATTTTTTTTCAAAATTTTTCTTTCTAACTTTCCAAAAGGTCTCTATACTATTTCTAATGATGCAGGCAATTTTTTTAAGATTTTTTTTCATTTTTTCTGTTTCAGTTTAATCATAGTCAATAATAGTTTTATCGCAAGTAGTGCTAAGCTCAGCGTCGCCTTTGTGTTAGAATTTTCAGTAGATTTAAAAAATTATCTTCTGATCGAATGATATAATGTCACACAAAATCTCTTGGAATGCGAAGAGTTTTCACGTGATATCTTTTTTATTTGAAAGGTGAGAAATTTTCATATGACCATTGAGGTTGGCAGCGCACAATTAACATAGAAGCTATATCTAAAGCTTCTCTGGCATAGATAGCTTCTCCAAGTTCCGATCTGTCCTTTGCGGCAATTTAATTTTTCAAGAGCTTTCGCCTTCTTTTTTACCCTCCGTGTTAATCGTTGCAGTTTCGGAAATGATTTTGTTCTATAAGCACTTTTCAGTTTGAATAGGAAATTTGTTTAAGTGGTTTTTGTCAATTGAACGCTTTGCTATCGAAATTTGAAATGACTAGATTTTGTAGATTGTTTTTTGGCCTGAAATTTTTGTGTTTCATGAATTCCCGCCTTTTTTCTTCAATTTCTCGTAATGAGCTGGTTTGATAGCTGCTTTTGAATTATGTGCCTGCGGATAGACGTTGAAATTTTTTTTGTTAATGCTTTTTGAAATATCTATCTGGTTTTTTGATGACTCCATTTCGAAATTTAATCAGCTTAAGTTTTGTATATTTTTAAGTTATTGATCCGAATAGGTTAATTTGAAATTCTTTGATGTTTGTTTTTGTATATTCATGGACTGGTTGTTTTAATGGATAATTTCCCTAATGGCACAATTCCTAAATTGCATAAAACAAATTATTTGCCAAATGGCCTAAACAATTTCAATAAATGTGTGAAAACTTTGAGGCGTGAAAAACTTAGTTTTTTTTCAGACATTTTTCACGCCTTTTTTTTCACTTGTAAGCAAATAACTAATCAATATTTAATTCAAGTAGAACTATCAAGTTCTCAGAAAATGAGTGAAATTGAAATTTTTAAAAGGAAACGTGGTTACAATTTATATTATGACGGATACTTTTATAAAAAAACTGAAACTACTACCAATTTTTTTTTGGCTGTGAACTGAAACTGAATGGGGCGCCAGGCTCACTTCACATTTTGAAAACCCAGTCGCTTGATATCAGCGGATATTGTGATAGTATTTCAAGAATCTGCCAAATTTTGTGCGAATTAAAACCAAAATATATTTTTTTTCTGTTGAATATTCTGGTTATATTGTTTTCAAGTTGATTTAGAGCTTACTAGTTAGAATATTTACGCCATTTAGAAATTTTTTGAAATTTATGCTGTCTGGGATTTTTTATGCCATTTGGGAATTATTCCATTTGAGACGTAATCGTTTTAATGACTTCGAAGGATTCGTTTTTTAATGATTTCTTTTTGAAATTTAATCAGCTTAGAGCTTATTCTAATTTCAAGTTACTGCTCATTATAGGTTTATTTGAAATTCATCGTGGTTTATTTTTGTGCAAATTGGTACTCACTTTTGGAAATAGCAAGTGTTATCAAAACCGATTGAAAACTTTTTTCAGGTTAATTACTAGTGTAACACAATCACTTGAATAGTTTGATAGCTTGATTTAAAAGCTCAAATTTTTTTGTTGCTCTGGCAAACGTTGTTTAGATGTGAAAGGGTATTGTGGTAGACAGCAGATGAACTATGTTCGAAGCCGGCTAGGGCTTGTTATTGCCAATTGCAAAAGCTCCACTTTAAAAACGTTGTCGGCTGATCGTTTGTCCGATTTTTTTTGTCAGATAAGTTGCCCCATCATGGAGTGTTTCCGGTGTTCTAAGCAACTCTGCGTTCTTAGAAACTCGGCGTTCTGTTATGAGTAACCTCAATAACCCGGATTTGTATAACTTCCATCATTTGTTTTTTTTTCGCTTAAAAGCTTTTTGCGAATGTATGTTTGGAGTTTTCAGCAAATTCTTTTTTTTTAAAACTCAAATACAGAATGAAATAAGGATTGGCGGTTGCGGTGCAAGTAACACAGAAGTCATTCATTCATTCAAAAATTACATTAAAAAAATTCTGATTGTTTGTCTTCAAAATAGGGTCGTATTTGTGCTTGTTGTGATAAGAGAGTTATAAAAA